CCTCTTAAGTTGCACTTACGTAACGCAAGCGACGGGCGGAGAACAAATCAATCAAAAGGGAAACGAGAATGAATTCGTGCCCAACATGAACGAACGAGGCGGGGACGAGACAGATCCTGTGCCACGCAGGAGAAGTACAGCACGACTTGCACAGCAGACAACAGGCGCGGGCGATGGAACAGCAGCAGCAGATTCCAGCGACGGCGACGTCGCTGATGAGCGCGACGACAGCGGTACGCGGCACCCACGTGATGGACGAAGCGCTGAGACCCTGGACGCTGTATGACATCTCCGGAGCGCAGGATCCGGAGCCTCTGCACGAAATGAAGGACCTCTTCCAGCGGTTTCGTGCGTTACGCCAGAAACCGGTGGACGGCGTCGACCACAGTGCGCTGCAGGAGTCGCGGTGCGCCTTCATCCGGCGCTGGAACCGGACGCAAGAGCAGGAAGAGAATGGCAGGTATTTTGTAACGGGGTTACATGGTGTGGAACACACAGGGGTACGAAGTACCCGGAGAGTTAACAAACTCTCAGTACATAAGTTGGAGAGTTAACAAGGTCTCTCAGTACGTTGGCTGAAAGCCACGTTATGCATTTGATTAGGTTTATTTATGCTAAGTAGTTAAAGAGATACATTTACCCCTAGGCGGCTTGGCCGCAATAATAGTAAATGTAACACTTCTGGTTTTGAAGCATAAAAGTTAAGGTATTAACTTTGAGCCCTGGTCTTGGGCTGTAAGTGTCCTTTGGATAAGGAACTTAGTATTAGTGACTCTTTGAGTCGAACGTCTTCCTCTGACGCTAAAGCTACGGCAGCCCCGCTGCATATTTCTTGACTCGTCCGACGTAGAACGTCGGATGTAGCCGCAGCGACGTAGGGATATCCAGCGTGTAAGCCTCGCCAATAACCTTAGTCACCGTAAATAGCCCAATAAAGCGCGGTTCGAGTTTACTCGCGCCGAGGTTGGTTACGGCAGAGTCTCTGATTCCTGAAGTCGACAGGAGCACACGATCTCCTGTCGCGAACTTTACTGTGTGTTTGCGGCCGCTCTTGTCCGCGTTTTCCTTCTGCTTGTCGACTGCCGTCTGCAGCGCGTCGCGGACGTAACGGGCGACTGCTTGGCGCTGGAGGAGATAGTCCGAGACAGCGGTGTTGTCAGCCTGGCGTGCCGGTTGCTTTGGCGCGTAGTTCGCTGATGGAGACACTGCGTTAGCGGTGCCAGGACTGATCAGGGCACGATTCGTCCACGAGGCGAGAGGGGACACCGCGTCGCGGGGAGTCGTCAGGGCCTTCCTGGCCTGGGCGTGTGTCACTGCGCTAACAGTCGCTGAAGATGAGGCTGCACTCGAGGAGGCGTCGGCAACCGGTATGGAAACCGGTTGAGGATCCATTACCGGTGTTGGCGCAGAAGGCTTGTCGGCAACCGGTATGGTAACCGATTGTGGGTTCGAAACCGGAGTCGTCACAAAATGGTTGTCGCCTCTTTCACCCCACCCAGAGTGAAGCCACACGGCGCCGTGGGACGGCCCACGGCGAGGAGAGCTGGAACGCGAGGGTGCCGAGCGTTGTTGACGAAGAAAGGAGTCAGGCCAGTCGACGCGTGAACCGCGTTGTTCAGCGCGAACTCAGCAAGCGGAAGGAGCGAGCTCCAGCTCGTGAACGACGTCGCGTAACTGCGAAGTACGTCCTCAAGGACACGATTAACTCGCTCGGTTTGGCCATCCGTCTCCGGATGAGCAGCCGGCGACATCAGCAGCTTTGTCCCTGATAGCTCGAAGAGCTTCGTCCAGAATGCAGACGTGAACCGCGGATCGCGGTCCGAAACGATAGACTCGGGCATGTCATGATGACGGAAGACTGCATCCACGAAGTGCACCGCGGTATCGGCCGCGGTGATCGTATCCGGGACCGGGATGAGGTGAACCATCTTGCTGAACCTGTCGACGAATACCAGGACACCGGAGCGCCCGGCGGAGTCGGGTGGGCGGCCAAAGATGAAGTCCATCGACACCGAGCGCCATGCCTCGGTGGCCACTGGTAAGGGACGCAGGGGAGCCTGTGACGACGGGGACGGTTTCACGCGTTGGCAGATCTCGCAGGACCTCAACCACTTGCGCACCCACTTATACATGTGGAGCCAGTAAAAGTCGCGTGACACCGCGGCGAATGTCTGCTCACGGCCCAAGTGAGCGCCAAGCGGGATATCGTGGAACTCATGGATGATCCGTGAGCACAAGTCAGGGTCGTTGGGGACCACTACACGCGAAGCATCGAAGCGATCGATGATGTA